GGGCCCCAGGGATCCGAGGCCCCAGGGGCGCCCAACCCCCAGACAGGAGCCCCAGCAAGGCCCCGGCCGGCCGGGGCCCACGAAGAGGCCGCCAGGAATTAGCCAGTAGCCAGCTGGGCATCCACCCCCAGACCCGGAGCTCCACCAGTGCACAGGCAAGCCCCGACGCCAGCCAGCGGAGGGAGAGCAGGACGGGGGAATGGGCTCCGCTTTTAGTGGAGACTTGAGATGTATTTGGGAGAGGGGGCAGTTGAGACCCCAACCTGGGAGAGAAAGAAAAAAACACTCACAATCACGCCTTCCCTTCAATCACCGCCACATCAACCCATCTTATTCCTGCTTCGAGCCCGGCCCCCCACCCCGAACATGGAACGGACCACCCCCAGCAAGAGCTCCCCCCGGGACCGGGGCCCACCCATCCCACGCAGACCACCCAATCAGAAACCGTGCACCCCCCCAAAGAAACTACTTCAACCAGGCACTTCATGCCCCTCCTTCCAACCTTCTTTGGGGAGAGCAGAAGTGACAGTCCCGCCACCAGCAGGCCACCTAGGCCCCGCAGCCGGCCCCAGCCAAAACCACAGACCAGGTGGCTCACTCTTCCTCCAGGCCCCAGACTCCGGGTGGCAGACGGAGAACAGGGGTGTGAGAAGACCCCGATCCTCACTGCGCCCGCTCGAATGTGGTGTTGTTGCGTGTTGCTCTCAGATGTAATTAAAACAGGGAGTACCAAGAGGGGGTGTCCGGCACAGTCCACCCCCACTCCGGGAGATAGGCGGTGCCAGCGCACCCCCCCATTCGACAACCCTGAACCCTCAATGTCTAGATGCGAAAGGGGATGGAGGAAGCCGACCGTGGTGAGGCCCATAAAATTAGCCCCCCCGGGTGGCCTTGACCCCCACCCCCCAGAAAATACCCTACATAGATGTGTGTTGTGAAAATGTTGTAGATGGAAGTGTCTAAAATGCAAAATAAAATTGGGCTGGGGGAACTTAATCAGAAGGTGGGGCCCTCCAGTAACGACCCCCTCCCCAAAAACCTACATGTGTGGCAGTGTGATGGAGCAGGCAGAGGGAGGATTTCGGGGATGGAGCACTCCCAGGGAGCCAGCTCCCCCGCTGACTCCAATAGGCACCCCCGTTCCCCGGTAATTTAGTTTTTAATAGATTTAGTTTAATGAAGATTTTTTTTTTTGTTGAATAATATTATGGTTTATGAATAAATATATGATTCATAGTTATTCCCCCATATTTCCACACAATAGCTAAATTATGGACGAACAAGAAGCCAGCAGCCTTTGTTAACATGTTGGAACTTGGCCTTTTTTTTCAGTGTAGTCCTGTTTCTCTTACTATGACTAACTGAATGTACTCTCTTTCATCCTCTGACTGGGAGCTGGCTCAGAGCTGGTCTGCTCGGCACTTTAATTTTTTTATTACATGAAACACATCATTGATATACATAATGAACAATTTTAGTCCTAAATGTGAAACCTTGTGGAACTTCAGGTTTATTAGCTTTTTGATCTGAATCAACACTTTAGGTATGTACAAATCTGTTACTGAGATAATCATTCAATCAAGTGACACCATACAACACCATACGTTTCTTTTTTTATTTTAGTAGCAACTTACAGTTAATGGTGTCAAATACCTTGCTCAAATCAATAAAAACTCCATCTGTGTATTGTTTGTCAAATGCTTTTGTAATATCTTCCACCAGTTCCATGACAGCCGTAGAAGTTGACCTGTTTGATCTAAAACTGTACAGATGATTGCTGTATTGATTTCTCTATGAAATTATTCAACCTTTTTGTGAAACATTTTTCCTAGATTTTGAAAAATTGCGTTAGATATGCCTGTAATTGGTGCTCTTGAAGACAGAAATGACTTCAGCACTTTTCATTACAAGGAAAAATGAAGTTCAGATTCTGAATGGTTTCACTATATAATGTATTGTATCATCAACCCACATCATATTCATGCCAGAGCTTTCTGTAGACTGTTTATTTTAAAATATTCTTTCTATTTGTTATTTATCACTTTTGTGTACATGCCTAATAAATATGGAGTTAGGATTTCTTGTAATGGTCTTATCATTTAGTCGTTTTGTTTCCCTATGTTGGGAGCTGGAGAAGTACCACCTTCCTCCAGCAGAGTCCGCCGTGGATCCTCCTGAGTTGAGCCTCCTGCACAGCTGCAGCCCATTCCATCATCAGAGGATCCACAGGACTTCCATGCAGCTCTGGACCAAGAGCTGGAATCTCAAAGCCAAGGTCTGCTCACTCTCAAGAAGTAAGACGCTG